TCTCCCTCCCTCCCTCCCTCTCTCCCTCCCTTTCCCTCTTTTGACCGCCCCCATGCATGCTCCCAGGCTCACTTCTCTCTTTCCTTCCAGCACTTTGTGCTCATTCATCAGTGGGTCATTATTCTCTTCCTGTTCAAGGAAGAGTTCAAGAGACCTGGGCTTTGTGACATCTCAAAGAAACCCTGAGGCGTCACTAAAATTAGAAATTAAAATGTTGTGCTGAGCAGTGGGATGGGAGCTATCTGACAGCACAAGCCTTTCAGGGCTACTGAGGGACCATTTCATGTTTCCAGCTGATAAAAATGGAACAAATGAACAACCCCAGGAGGGGATGGTACTGTAGGATGGTAGGGTCCCAGGAAACTTGGAGAGGGGGTTGTCGGCTCTGCAGTTATGCTGCTGATTAAAGGATAAAGGCAGAAAAGAATATGGAATTGTGTCAACTACACAGAAACCGCTCATTTGGAGGGGTGGGAGGAGAGAAAGGGAGGAAGAGAGGGAGGGAGGGAGGGAGAGAGAGAGAGAGAGAGAGAGAGAGAGAGAGAGAGAGAGAGAGGTTTTTTTGCTCCTCTTTAAGCATCTCTGCCCCCTGCAAGCTATCCCCATTTTCCAGATCAAAGGTGGAATAGAGGCCATCTTTGGCTGTCTCCCTATCAGGAAAGGAACAGTCAGTCCTAACACTCCCTTTTCTATAGTCAGAAAAATTGACTCTCACAAGAGCACTATACTGACAATTTTTAAGTATATGCAGACTTCTCATCCTAGACAGGTAGGAGGAGGACTAAGGACAGAATCCAGAATGTCAATTACCAGCTTATGGAATTTTGCCATCTTGAAAAAAACCAGAGAAAATCCTTTAAAGCACCATAAATTAAATCCTTATCTGATGCTCAGGCAAGCTGCCACTTAAAAAATGACTCTTCTGCCCTGAGAATAGGTTATTTTTAACTGACTTTCTATCTGTATGTGGAGAACTCACTGCCATGTGGGTTTCAGGGCTAGCTCTCCACTCGTTTTAGGCAGTAACTCACGGAGAGGAGCTTACTGGTGGCTGGAAATGGATTTCACACGATGAATGGCAACTTGAGTCAAATTAGAGGCCAGTCATTGTTTATCATAGCAGGCAGTGTGTGTAGGGTATGGGTTGAATTTCACACTGATGGGCACACACATTGAATCGCTAGGGTGCAGTGGAGAGCAAGAAATAATTGGTGGTTTGCTGACCATCAGGATTAGTAATATATTTGGTTGAACCATATGGAATTTCTAAGTTTTGTAAATCGAAAATGGTTAAATATCAGCAATTTCACATGGTTCAACCTAATGGTTGAATATTACTCAAAAGATACTTGATTTTGGATTTCCTCTTTCACATGATCTCAGAGAATTTCAATTGCAAAGATGGCAATGCCCATTTAAAAGGGGGATACCGGGGCCAGCCGAGTGGCTCAGTTTGTTAAGAGCTCGCTCAAGAGTTTGAGCTCTAAGCAACAGCGGTTCGAGTCCAGCCCGAGCTGAGCAGCCGCTGAGCTGCCAACAGGTAGCAGGATGGCTCAGCTTAAAANGCAACAGCGGTTCGAGTCCAGCCCGAGCTGAGCAGCCGCTGAGCTGCCAACAGGTAGCAGGATGGCTCAGCTTAAAAAAAAAAAAAAAAGGGGGGGGGGATACCAAAGGGCAGGCTGAGTGGCTCAGTTGGTTAAGAGCTCGCTCAAAGGTTTGAGTTCTGAGCAACAGCAGTTTGAGTCCGGCCCGAGCTTGAGCTGCTGCTGAGCTGCCAACAGGTGGCAGGATGGCTCAGCTAAAAAAATAATAATAATAAAAATTAAAAAACCCAAAAAAAATAAAAATAAAAAAAGGGGGATACCGAAACCCAGACTACAGTCAAAGATCAAGCCTGGAAGGTACTGGAAACTGAAATTCTCACTGGGCTTTTTCAGCTCTAGGACGATACATAATCCCTCCTTCCCAAGCATGCTCCTTGGAACTCTGACCTTGAGGGGACACTAATGGTATTGCATGAGAAGAAATTCGGGAGCCGAACCGAGTAAAACAGGTCTCTTTACTGCCGGATTTCTTGAAGCCAGTAACATGGAAATGTCTATGAAAACTCCACAAAGGGGAGATAGTGTATACACAGCATTTCCCAAATATACTTGACCCAGGCTTGCTTCTCACCCTATTCCCCACACTTTATTGTACACACACATCACCTGGGGATCTTGTTAAAATGTAGGTTCTGATTCAGCGGGTCAGGGACTCTGCATTTCTAACAAGCACCTGCGATGGTGATGGTGATGTTGCTGGCCCACGGGCTGCGATTTGAGTAGCTGAGCTCTAAGGGGTTTAGTGTCTCCCAGGGACCATTCCAGGCTTTTGGGTGAGCCTGGATCTGAACACGGGAGAAAGGCAGCACCTTGGCCTCACCTCCATAAACTCAGCGCTGGAGCCCACGTGCTGCCTAAAGCACAAAAGGAAGTTCTCCTCAGTCGGCAGGATCTGCGCCAGCTGTGGGGATCAGAGAGCGACAGTAATATTATGGAGGGCCCTACAGGAAGCAGAGCTGACTTTCCTGCAGGAAGGATGAGGTGGCAAAGGGAGTCACATTTTGCTCCCTTCCTGAGAACAGCCCTTCAAAGGGGAAGAAGGATGTTCTGAGAAGTGCATCTTCATCACCCTAAACCTTAGGGTATGAGCAGCTGAAGGGACAGAAAGTGGTCCCAAGTACCCAGTCGCAAAAGAACACTTAATAGATTATTCCATATATATAACATTCCAAAAAATGCAAACATTTTTTTGTGGTTGCTAGCACAGGATGGCCTGTACCAGGCAAGGAACCTTTTGGGGGTGATAGAAATACTGTATCTTAATTGGGATGGTGATTATATGGCTGTGTACAACTGTCTAAACTCATGGAATTTTACATTTCAAATCAATGCAACTTATCATATGTAAATTATACTTCAACAAATCTGACTTCAAAAAGTGCAAGTACTCTTGTGCAGCAAACACTGTTGGTTGCCCACCCAACTGGCCTTTCCTTCCTTCTGCTCCCAGCATCCTTGGTCACAGGCAAATCCTGATTAGTCTAAGCTAAGCGTGCTAATCTTATTCCTTGCCAGTGATTGGCTTATGGGTAAGCATGTGACCTAGTCCTGGCCAATGAAATGTGAGGGTACTCCTGGGAAAGGCTTCCTTGCTCTTATCAGAAACCCAATGAGGTGAGCCCTTTCTGCATCTGGACATGGTTGAATCTGGATGTGATGCCTGGAACTGTTGCAGCCAGCTTGCTACCAGCCTCAGGATGAAATGGTTTTGGAGTCAGAGAACAGAGCCAAGAGAACTGCAGAGAAGCAGGGCTGGACACCTGGCCTCCTTCACCTGGAGTCAACCCTACCATGGCCTTTCTCATTAGGAGCCTCTCATGGTTTAAGCCAGGAGTTGGTAAACTATGGCCCACGAGCCAAATCTGGCCCAATGCCTGTTTCTGTAAATGAACTTGTATTGGAACATAGACATGCCCATTCATTTACATATTGCTTTTGTGCCACAGTGGTAGAATTGAAGAGTCCTAACAGAGACTGTATGGCCTTCAAACCCTTAAACATTTGCCACAATCTGGGTCTTTACAGGAAAAGTCTGTTGATCTCTGGTTTGAGCCCATTTGAGTCAGCGTGTTCCGAGACTTGCAGTTTAGGCATCTCTAGTGGAGTCTTTGGGTGCCTTTCCCAGATTCCCTTTCACTAGGCTGGTGGGCCATTCCTCAGGGGCTGTGAAGGACCACTGCTAATGGCTCATAGCTTCCCCCGGCAGGAGAACTGCCCTCCACCAAACTAGAGCTGCCCCAGCCACCTTCCCCACCCTATCCCCACTTGGGGGCAGCCTGCATCCAATGACTAATTGATCACCCCACCCCTTGCCTCAAAGTGGGACCAACTCTGTGGCACAATCCACACTCCACAGCTCCTCATGGGATTGGGTCAAACCTAGGCTCTAGCTGAGACCATGCCTTTAGCTTAGCTCCTGCCTCTGCCCTTTCCAGCTGCCCTCTCGTCCCTTGTCTTGAGAATCCTCTCTCAATAGGTCCCATCCACTCAAATCTTTGTCTCAGTCTGTGCTTTCAGGCCACTAACCTAAGGCGGCATCCCACCAATCCCCCTGGGGAGGAGCTATGCCTCATTCGTGTGCTGCCATCATCAGCCTTGACTGCTCGATCACAGGTTGCAAACAGATTGCCAGACGTGTTTGGTTGGTCCTGCATACACATGCATATGGACATGTGTGTGTATGAGTGTATGTGTGTGTGTGTATAAATTGTTACATTAATTAATTAAGGACAGCCATTAGACTGAGGCGGTCTTCATGCCCTAGTAGCCCATGTAAGCAAATCAGAACCTAAAAAAACAGCCATCTAGGCTTTCCCAAATAATGCAACCACTTAAGCTATAAACAATCAGATAATTTCCTTCCTTTGCTTTTGTCTCTTCTCTATAAATCTTTCCTTTAGCTCCTGTCGGTGGAGTACTCCTAACCATTTCCTGTTTGGCACTGCCTAATTCCAACAAATATTTGCTCAAAGTCTTGAAATTTTTAACACTTTGTGGACCGGTGATGCAGATTTGTGTCTATATATTTAAATGCCCCATCCTCAATGTGTTAATATGCCTCAATTTCTCTTTTAATAATATATATATTCATATATATATTATATATATATAAATTATACATGCTATATATGATATATGTTATACAAATTTTGCCTTTGCACGCCTTTTAGGTAGGGCATGAATTCTCCTGTTCCCCAGTCTTCACCCTCCCTTCTATCTTTAGCTGGGCTCATCACACATGTACAACACCTGCTGAACCCTGAGAACATTTAAGGTGTTCATCCCTGTCTTAGGCCAATGTTTGTTGCTTCCTCTTTCCTTTTGAGATACAGAAAATGGTGCCTCTGTTCTCTTTGGTCATCCTAAGTGCTGGGGATGGGATGGGGGTGCTTTAAGACCACCATCTCATTTAGATCCCTAGACGGATGTTTGTGCATGGGAGAGGCACAGGTGACGATGGCCATTCCCATGTAGCTCTTAGCCAGGACAATAGGACTCACCTCTGCCATTTCAATTTTCCCATCTGAGTTCTTGTCATACTTCTGCATGAATTCCTTCATCTTCTCCCCGAAGTTGTCACTCTTTGACACCTGTGGAAAGACCACGGGGACTGATTTTGCTGCGGGGTCCCATGTGAACCATGGATCTCTCACCTTTTTGGTGCAGCAATGGTGGGAATCATCTTGTGCCCTAAATATGCAGGCATGGAACCAGGTTGAGCCAATGAATGCCCTTAGTGATCAGGGCTGCACCCTTTTCCTTTCCAGGATCCTTCCACATCCAGTGGTCTCTTCTTTGAGGCTCGGTCACATTGTTTTCAAGGGGGAATAGCACACATGGACATGTTCTGTGCCACATAATTAAACATGCCCCTCTGCCTTTGAGATGAATTAAACCACAACACTTATCATAAGGGTGAGGACTTACTCCCATCACTCAGGTGTGAGAGCTGAGGCTCCAACATTTTACTGAGGTCGCTTCTAATAAACCCAACTTAATCCAGTGGTCCCCAATTAGGTTCTAAGCACCCCACCAGTGCAAGGTGCATTGCTCATTTTCTGCTTTAAAGCCTAATTGGCAATTTCACAATATTTTTTCCTCTGATTTTATCCAGGAGAAATGTGAAGAGAAAGTCTTCATATAGCTGAGGGGTAATTTAAATAGTTCACTAGGTTACTAGGACTACTGGAAAGGCAAAAAACTTCACACATTCCTTTAGCCCATGGTTGCCTATCTAATATAAAGCACCCTTGAAGTTCTCAAACCTTCTCTTGGTTTGGGGCGTTGCTGGCTAATTATTTGCATTAATGAGCTCTTCCTAATCTCTAATCAATAACGAATCTACTTGGGATGCCTCTTCTTCACTTATCTGAGGACTTTGGGGAGGGTTGTGGGCTTTGTAGGATTGGGCCATGGAGAATTCTATCAATTCTTAGAGTCTTGCCTGAATTCCTTCTATTGCTTTTCACCTTTGGAACTGGTCTCAATTTGCCAATATTTATTTGTTTATCAATATTGATTGCTTTACCTTGACAAATGTGCATGGGACGATCCTAAGCCCTTATCACAAATGTGGTCATTTAATTTATTTTAATTAATTAATTTAATTTTTATAACAGTCCCCATGAGGTGAGTAGCCTGTCCATTCTACACACAAGTGGAGGCAGAGATGAAGTGACTTCCCCCCAAGATCACCAGTTAGTATAGCTAGAATTTGAACTCATGGCTCCTGCTTCCAAGGCCAATATCCTTTCTATCATGTAACAGATGCTCTGAGACCCAGTCTGGGATATATTAGTTGAGATTGTAGTTGACATATGTGAAAATCACCCCTGATGCCATCTAAGAAAGACAATGATTGAGAAGCACTTCATGAGAACATATTCTTCCACCTACCCCACTATCCCAGAATCAGTTGTGAAGCCTGTGTTTTCTGAGATCCTGGTAGTGAGAGTGACGGGAAAACTGTTGATAAACCCATGAATCACCTCCATCACTTAAGTCCATTGCTTGGACCTCCTCCTCACTGGGCTCTCTACTGAGCTTTGAACCAGGAGTTCAATGGTGTATTTGTGACTCATCTCCCAAACTACTCCATGAAGACTTGTTAATAAGCAGTGAGTTGACCAACAGGCACACTGCAGGGGAGGGTGAAAAGACCCCCAAAGGATCCTTGGGAGCTTGGAGAGCAAGTGGGGCTGACTCCATATATTCGAGAATCAGGCATGGAAATCACAACAGACTAGCTTCAATCACCTTGTCTTTTCAGTATTTCAGATGCTCCTCCAGAAGGTTTTCAAAATGCTGCATCACCTGGGACAGACAATAGTCCATAGTGCCAGGTTGGCACCAGGGGAAACAACATCCCTACTGTTAAGGACATGCTTTGGAGTCACTTCAGGCAAGCTAAGAAGGGTGGTCTGACACCTCCACAAATGAGGCCAGCCAGTACCATTGGTTCAGATACTGGTTTGGAGTAATCCGCCATTTTCCTCTAGGTCCTTGCTGAAGATGCCAGCCTTTGCTGGCCTAGAACAGTGGTTCTCTTGTGGGGATGATTCTGCACCCCTCACATAGGACATTTGGCAATGTCTGGAGACAATTTTATTGTCACAACTTGGAGGGGACGCTACTGGCATCTCATGGAGAGAGGCCAGGGATGCTGCTAATCATCCTACAATGCACAGGACAGCTCCCCCCACCCCCAAAGGATTATGCAGCCCCAAATGTCAAAAGTGCTGAGGCTGAGAAACTCCATCTAGAATAAAAGCACTTGAAACCCTCTAGGCGTCCAATCTTGAGTCATGACTCCTCTGAATATCTTAAATAGGCTGTGGACTCTTCCCTAGGAGAAAAATACTTTTATACACACATACATAGACACAAAGCTTTGCAATTTTGGGGGGTTCATTGACCCCTGGTGTCCATTCATGAACACTCCTCAATCCCAGTCACCTAGTGTACTGAGGTCAGGTACTCTTTTTAGGGAGTATTCCAATTAAAAAAAAATCCTTACAAATAAAATGTCTAAGGGTCAAATGAGAGCTGTCAGACCCACTGATGGGATGCATAACCTGGGACAAACAATGCTCGAAGCCATGGTCAGGTTGACAGAAAATACCCCAAAATGGGAGCGAGGGCTGGGCTTACCATGCCAGAGCCTTTTCTTGCCTTCTCCAGCTCTTGGAAAAAGTTTTCTAGTTCTTTACCTTCAATATACCCATTTCCTACAAAGAAAAAAAAAGCAATTAACCTCAGAGCTAAGTAGTAAGACTGATGGGAGGTGGGTGTGGTGGGAAAGTTGGGGGCTTCACGGAGAACTTCTCACTGGTTAACAAACAGGTGTCTGGGTCAGCCCTGGACTGTTAGGAGTGCGGACCCTGCCCTCAGGGAGTGTGCAACCACAGAAATCAAAGATTAATAACCACATGTCTTTAGGGTATACATTCAGAGAACACTGGGAGGGAGCAGCCTCTGGGCCAGGCCAGCAGACATGAGCAGGAGCTGGGAGCTGTCTGTAACCAGCTGGGCAAGCAGTAGGAGCTAGAGATCTGACAGGGGACCACAGGTCATCAGCATCCAGGTTTGTCAGCAGGTGGTCGGCCCTGGTCAGCAGCGTGAATGAGGTCAGAGGCAGAACTTGGGTCTCTGGGATTGGAGGGTGCACTGAGTTAAAGAGTGAACCCCTCAAATCCATGTACACCTGGAACCTCAGAATGTAATTTTATTTGGAAATAGGACCTTTGCAGATATAATTAGTTAAGATGAGGTTATACTAGATTGGGGGGGTGGGGGAAGTCCTAAATCCAATGACTGGTGTCCTTATAAGAAGGCCATGTGAAGACACAGAGAGACACACACTGGGAAGAAGACCACGTGAGGACAGGCAGAAATTGGAGTTAAGCATCTCCAAGCTAAGGAGTACCACGAATTGCTTGCAACCTCTAGAAGCTAGGAGGACATGGAGAACGTTGCCACTCAGAACCTGAAACCAATCCTGCCAACACCTTGAATTTGGACTTCTAGCCCCCAGAACTGCAAGAGAATGTCTGTTGTTTTAAGCCACCCAGTTTGTGGTACTTTGTTACAGCAGCTCCAGGAAACTTATAAAGAAGGAAAGAGCAGAAAGAGAAAAGCAGGGCATTTGTGCTATGAAACGGGGGTGCCTGAGAGAGTAGGTAATAGGGACAAAGCATGGGGGAGGCCATCCACTGCACAGTAATGAAGAGAGGGGCTCTGAGGTCTAAGGACACAAATTCAAACTCTGTTCTGCTGCACTTACCAGCCATTTGACTTTGGGAAAGTTATTTAACCTCTCTGGGTTATTTTAATTAAATGGGATTTTGGATGTAAATCCCATCACTTAACCCATTATGAGTGAACTGTAAATGTTGCTATTGTTTGATTTCAGTGACCAGAACCTGCATATTAGATAAGACTGAATCTGGGTGAAAAGCGGTTTTCAGGACCAGGTCCCAAGGTCAATGCCTGACATACAAGATCACATAAGTAGTCCTTTAGGTTCTCAAATCTTGAACCCAGATGGCTTAGAGAGCAGGGTTGCTGAGTCCACGGCCAGGGTCACTGGTCTCTGCTGTGATGGGGAGGAGGGATTTGTGGGTGGGAAATCTGAGAGACCTAAAGCCCTGCTCTCCAGGCTACTTTCTGCGAATGGACTCTCCTGGGATCTTTCAAAAATATGGATATCTGGCTTCTACTCCCAGACATCTTGATGTAATTGGTTTGGGGTGTGAACTAAATATCATGCTTTTTTTTTTTCCCCCAAAGCTCCCCAGGTGATTTCCATGTACAGCAAGGTTTGAAAACCACTGGCCTAAAGTCAAGTTCCAAATCTGATCTAAAGAATTAAGCAAGGTTTGCATATATAATATTCAACTTGAAGAGAAAAGGGGGATGGCAGATAGCTTGCTTGAGGGTCGAACGAAATTACAAACCGAACAAAGGAAATAAAAAAGAAGTATTGCCCTGGCCTTGGTGGGGCCTGGGTGGGGGCGGGGGTAAGGGTGAGGGGGGGCGTATATCTTCTTTCCAGTCTTTCCCTTATCGCCCATGAGAATAAATATCCTTAGAGGGCCCTCTAGTGGAGAAGACGCCACGATAACTATTGTATGGTAAGACTCACTTGAGATAAATTATGTATTTTTGTCTACAGGGAAAAGATGTGATTGGACTTGGGGCTGAGACTTGAGTTCTCTTTCCCCCACCCCAGGATAGTGTGGCCACCTTTCTTCCACGATGTTCTGCAAAGCTTCTTGGGGGAGTTGGACTTGCATTGAGTGTGTGCCTAATAGTGAGGCCACCTGGAGTTGGGGAGGGGCGAAAAGGGAGGGGGTGGATGGAGGAGGGGCTTCCTAAGCAAAAAGGAAGTCCAGTTGATGGTAGCTCTTGAGTTGGAGGAAGGACTACTGTTTCTCTTCTTAGTCACACCCAGCAGTGATCTGGCTATTCTCCCATTTCTTAGGCAGAAAGCTGAGGGACGCTCTGGGTCCAGGTGCAGCTTCCAGAAGCCTGAGGCTGGGGTTGGAGAGGCAGGCTGGGAGCTTGCGCTGTGAGCATGCGCTGGGGTTCGTTGAAGCAGAGGCCTCAGAGGCGGCGGAGTCCGAGCTGGGTGGACACGTGAGTGCGTGAGTGTGTATCTGTTTCTTGGGTGTATTAGGAGGCAGATGAAGTGACTGCCAGGGCTACTTGGACAGGGTGGGCAGGGAAGTTCTCGCTGAGAAGCCCCAGCTACTGAGCAGAGGGAGGAGTGAAATCAGGCAGGGAGAGGGCCCCCAGCTGGGATAGTGCCATTGGAGAAAGAGCCACTTCCCTGAATCCAGCTGGCAGGAGGCTCCCAGAAGCTGGAGGAGCCCCTCTTGCCAAGCTAGGAATTCCCCTACCACCTCCCTCTCTGTACCCCCCAAAAAGGGGCAGAAACGTGGTTCAGTTCAACAAGCCTTTACGTTTTGAACTGAACAACAGCTCCGCATTGTGTTCGGAGCTCAGGGGGCCTACAGTCAAGCTTTAGACATGGGCCTATTTTCCAAGAGCATTTAATGGTCTGTTGGGGTGAGGCAGCCAGACAAGAACGATGTGAATCTCCCAGCTGAAGGCAGAGGGTGAGGAGCAGAGATTGGGTTGGCAGGCAGGAGCTGCAGGGCCCAGTGAGGGGGCGGGGGGAAGGACTTCGCTACTTTGGCCTCCCTCAGAGCAATCCCATCCATCACCCAGGAGGCACCTATTATCTGAGGCTGGGGTGGAGGACGGCTGCCTACATCCTTTCAGGGAGGACTTCAGCACTGGGCAAGTGGTTTGCTTTTTCTATGACCCTCTTACGGGGGGTAGAGTGACTGGCCACCAAGCAAATCTCATGTGGAAGGGCATCAATATGGATGTGGTTACTGTGGCAACCGTCACTCCTAGCCTCAGTATCAAACCTGTTCTGTGACCCTTAGGGAGAGGGGGCTGAGTGGGAGCCAGGGACCCTGTACCTTCCTCATTCTGCTCTTGCTGCCATTTTTCACCACCACTGTGCCTCAGTGCCCCCAAATTTAAAGTGAGACAACACATCTTCACAATTAATCTGACCGTGGACACTTGGAAAGCCTTGACCGAAGGAAGGATGCCCTGCTCCATAGTGAAAAGAGGCCTAATTGTTTCTCACTGAGACTTGTGAATACAGGTTTTCTAAGAATTGAACAGGAAAGAGGAACCTGAGTAAGAGGTATAATTCTACCACCAGCTCTGTGACTGTCCATGTGACGTTGAGCAAACCAAAATATTTGAGCCTCAATTTCTTGATCTCTAAAATGGGCATAACTACTTATGTTCTTTTTACTTTATGGAGCTACTGTGAGAGCCATACAAGGTAATGTGGCAAAAGCATTCTGGAAAATGTAAAATCTCGCTGAACGGAAAGCATCATTTTAATACTCTGTGCTCCTAAGGTCTTTTGAACCAACCCATGGCTGTAAACCCTTTGGCCCAAAGAATTCCAGCATGACTGCTATCTTTAGAGTGCTGGTTCTCAGCCCTGGCTTGTATTAGAACCACCTGCCTGGGCCCCATCCCCAGAGCTTCTGATTTAATTGACGGGGTGTGGGGACTTCTCGTGGGCATATTTTCAGAGCTCTCCAGTTCATTCTAATGTGCATTCAGGGATAAGAACTGCTTTAGAGCAGCGCGTCTCAGGTTTTAAGGTGTGCAAGAATTATTATATTAACCTGGGGATTGTATTAACATGGAGATTCCGATTTAGTAGGTCTAGAATAAAAGGGCTTGCTGTTTGAAGCGCGGTCTGTGGAAGAGTAGCATTGGAATTACCTGGGACCTTGTTAGAAATGCCGAATCCCAGGCCCTACACCAGTCCTGCTGAATCAGAATCTGCATTTTAACAACGTAGGAATGTAAACGTTTGAGAACCACTGCTTTTGAATGTTAGTGTCTTCTTAGAAAAATGGTGCCTTTGGCTTTACATTTGAGGTTGAGGTGGAGGGGACTGATGTGAGCCCCGAGATGGTAGACCTGGGTCTCATATTGACAAGTGACTCACCTCTGTTGACTTGAGGGGCCTCGACCAGTGCTACTCAAAGTGTGGTCTGGGGCCTGACAGTGTCAGCTTCACCTGGGAGCTTGTTAAAAATGCCAAGTTCTCAGGTCCCATCCCCAGACCTACTGAATCCAAATCTTTGGGAGTGAGGCCTAGAAATCTGTGTTTTAAGAAGCCCTCCTGCAGGCTCAGGTGTGAGAGCCACTGGCCTCGATGCTGCGTTGGTGTTCACCTGTCTCTGTTACTCTATGATGCATAGTTAAGAAAAAATCAAGGAGGGGAGTTAGGCAGTTTCAGACTTCCTCGTTAAGCTACACAAGGGGCTAGGCCACTTGGCTGTCTGTCCAGAGTTCCAGCTTATGGAAAGGCAAATAGCCCTTTGCCCTCCAGCATGAGCACCCTCTGGGACAGTCAGATACCACCCTTGAAGGCAGAAGATTGGCTTTCTCTGGCTCTGCCCCCACATTACTTTGCGTGGTGTGTACCATTTACAAAGAGCTTTCCACTCCCCACCCCGTCTGGTCTTCTGGAGTCTGCCAGGTAAGCAGATGGTGTTATCGACCCCATGTTAGAGAGCAGGAGTTGAGGGGAAAGGAGATCTAGTCACAGCCAACAGCCTTGTTTCCTTCTATTCATCCCAGGGGCGACCTCTGTCCATATCTGTACGTGTCTTGGTTT